AATTCCCCAAACAAGAGCTGAGCCCTGCTGCTGGCACAGCAGCTCTGCCAGCCCCTGCAGCCACCTCTGCTGCTGGGAACAGCTCCTCATTTGGGGTGGCTCATCTGGATACCCAGAAACTGCTTCTCAAAACCTCTGTGCTAAATCAAGGCTCCTTTTCACCTCCTGCCACAGCCTTTGGGGGACCAAAGCTTTGCCTTCCACTTGTCAGCTGCCCCTCAGCTTTGTCACCACCTATGTTTGTCTGTGATAATTCCACCTGGTTCATTTCCCTTTGTGTTGAACACCTCCCTCTTTCCCTGCTCAACACCCCTTTATTTCCTCAAAATCCACAAATTCGTATTCCAGGCCGTGAAAATATTTCTGCCTTCACAGAAAAAACATCACCACATCATCAATACTTTCACAAATACAGTTCCCAACTTGTACCAGGAACCTTCCAGAGAATATTTCTCATCAGGTTTTAAAGCAGCTTTCTCAGAGAGACCAATGTCTCTCTATTCCCTGCACTGCTACAACTCCTGTTTTTGTTGCTGCCCCATCAGACATTTTGGCCCCCACCCAAACTCCATCTCTTGTTGCTGTCATGTGGAAGAAAACTGTACTAATACCATCCTAGCTCACTCTTCATCTCATTTTAATCCAAATTTTAAATATTTTTTTATTCTTTTCACAATGATTACCTTTATTTCTCCCTCCTCCTGCAGTTATCTTTATTTCTCCCTCCTCCTGCAGCTCTGGAAAGTGTTAACTCTCTAGCACACATGAGTATTGTACTTATGAACTGAAAACACAAAGCTGGTCTTGCTTTTCTAAACAACAGAAAGAGAATAGAAAACACATTAAGATATCCCATTACATTAAGAAAAAAAAACAACCCAAAACAATAAATTAGAATAAAATCTCATTTAGGCTTCCTATCATTTCTCTTAAGCTGCCTTGGCGTTTAAATTGTCCTTAAAACCATTCTCTGAAACAGCTCAGGAAAAAATGCACTTGCAAAAGGCACACAGAGCTAGGAGTTTGCTTTTGATGCCATCATTCAAATGGAGAATAAAAGCCCAGACCTGCTGTGGGGCTGACAGTTTGTGGGTGCTGTCCTAACCCAGCTTTACAGCAGATAATGAGATAACCAATGGTTTTATTAAGCAAATGCTGGTGAGGAACACGGTAATGCACAAAGAAAACTTGGCTTGAGTTGTCTTTTGTTTCTGATTATGAACACTCAGGGCATTCAGACAGTGCTCCACACCAAACCAGTCCATCCCAGTCCTTTCCTGGGGCTGACTGGGATTGAAGGTCCTGGAACAACATCCCAGCCAAGTATATTGGATAAACATGCACAATTTCAGCTCAATTCTCATAGCATTTACATCCAGTACCGGGCAACCAGTGAAGTAAAATTAGATTTTTTTTTAATATCCTGACTTGAAACACTTTGTTCTACACCAATCCATCACTGGCTGTCAGTACTTATAAGAGAAGTAATGCAAAATATTCTACCAGACAACAGGATCTAAAGTGGGAATTAAAACACAAGAGAAGTGTGTCACATCCGTGCTGCTGGTGTCTCTCTCACTGGTGAAAATTCTGTGCTTCAGTTTTACACTTTGCTCAATAAACTGTAATTTAGTTACAGTATAAGCAAGGTTAAATGCTGCTGTCTGTAGGCCAAGAGAGAAGTAACAGAGTCTTCAAATGAGAGGGGTTTTTTTTCACATTTATTTGCTGTCTCTTGGCCAGGCACCAAGATTTCATATTCATAGCAGCATAAAAAGCAACGAAAACAACAACAAGGACTCCTGCTGAGACTATTAAAGTGTCATTTTCAGCAGCAGGACTCCATAAATCACAGAGACAGCCTCACCTCAGGTTCTGCCCCTGCAGTCACTGCAGCTGCTTTGCTCACACAGGTGACTGGATCAGCATTTTATGTACAAGGAGACCCCTGTCCCATTCCCTGCCCTGCTTTTAGCTCAGGAAGCATCTTCCATGAGGATTTCCTGTGCCAAAATGCAGCTCTCACCCAGCTTTCCTCCTTGCATGCCCTGCCTTGGGCTGTGGATGGTGAGCTGCAGGGCCAGCTCCAGCCTGGGCTCACACCTCTGCAATCCAACAGGCTCAGATCATGGAAAAACAGAGGATCAGCAAGGTAATCCAATCCCAAGGAATAAACTCAGGTGCCTGGGTAGGTAAAACACATCCCTTGTTTGGCCTCATCAAGAAAAACAAAGTTAAAACTGATTCCCAGCTCCGGATTTGAAGTGCAGGGAAGATATTGGGTCACGGATCAGCCACACAAAGAGAAAGAGGAAATATCAAAATACACCAGTACACATCTTTTGAGGGGGGTTTTGTTAAAAGGGAAAATTATCAAAGCCTTCAGGACTAAAATAATCCAAGGCTAGGAGCAGCCCCTCCACTTCCAGCTGCAAAGATGCTGTTCCACATCCCACTGGAGGGATTTGGCATCCAAGAGTCTGTGCTGGAAAATAGGATGGAAGGAGGAACTGCTCTTGACAGCATCTGCTGGTTCTCATTTAGCAACAATAAACTGTAATTCTGATGTTAAAAGGCAGGATGTTTCACCTTCACGTTTCACAGGCTTTATTCACTACATTATAAAGTAAATTTGATCTAAACCCCTCAATTTAAACAACATTCTTGGGGTAAAAAAAAAAAAAAAAGTAGTGACACCCTTAAATTCCCATTGCTATTGCAAAATATTTCTGCTGAAATGGGGGAGGAAAAATGGGGAAGAAAGATCTCTGTAATGCCACTGATAGCACAGATCAAATTCTTTTCAATTACACACAGAAAATCCTCCTCCCCTGAAAAGGTTTAATAGCAAAGTTGCAAAGAGTAGCTGTGTATTAAGGAGTCTTTATTAAATATCCAGAATATGTTATGTGGTATTTACTCCTTTGCTAGAGTGCATTATCATCAGCACTTGCACCACAATATATAATTTATATCAATAGCAAAGTTGTCATTGATATCTTTGGAAGCAGCTTATACCCTAATTTACTAAAAGCACTCATCTGCAGAGAGTGTTTCTGTTATTTATTAGAATTAATTAAATCCTTCTGTGTTATGTTAAAGCACACATCTTGTAAGTCCTTGAAGGCCTGGCTGAAAAGAGAAATAAAGTTTTACAGGTCCTATTTTAGCAGAGATAAATAATGTCAATCAGTCAACCACCTGGTCTGTTAAAACATGATCAAGAAAGGAATATCAGTTTCAAAATATTTCATTTTCAAATAGTAAAATGTTCCTCTTGATTTGGTAACATTTTAATCTGCTTTCTTGTATTGCACACACCAAAAAGGGAGAACAAAAAAAAATTGCTGTGGTATGACAATTCAGATTTGTTCAGTGAACCAGGAATATTGCTGTCCAGTTCTCAGTGTTTAGGAGATGAGCCTGCAAATGAGGAAATCAGAGTGCTATTGCTGCTAAATATGTGAAAAACAAGGAAAATACAGAATAACAGCAATTCACATGTTTGCTTCATGACGTTTTAAGATAATTTTACCCCCAAAAAAGTCCTTAATGTTATTTTAAGATGAATTTTGCCAAAAAAAAACCCTTTGTGGGATTGAACTTCCCATCCCCTCCTGACATTTCTGCCTTATTGAGTAATTTGGGGCCCATTTGGGAGAGGCAGAGATCTCAAAGGTAGGGAGTTTGCAACAACAAGCAGAGAGGGATGGAACAGAAAATGAGACAAACAGGGTGGATTAGAGGGATCCATGAAGGTCAGAGGAAAAGTGGAATCCAAACGCAGCAGAACTATCTAACTGAGCATGAAAACTGGACATTATCAGCATCCTGGTGGTAACTGCCCTCTGGAGCTAAAATAAAAAGTGTTATTTCATATTTGTCTTACAGTACAGCTCAGCCAAGATTAGGAAGCTATTTTGCTACTTTTGAGTCCCCAGAGTTAGAGTTACTTTACATCAATAATGTTTTTATTTCCACCACCTTCCAAGGCCACCTCTGGTGCCCTTGAAGGATTAGAACTGGCATCACTCTGGGATTTTTTTCATGTATTCAGTGTATTTTAACTGCAGCAAAAAAAGCCTCCCAAGACCTCGGGGCTCATCCACAGAGTGCAATAAAAAGAGTTTTTGCTGCTGTGACTCACTGGAGCCCTGCACAGAGCACAGAGGCAGAGCCCTGCCCGTTGCTGCAGCGCCCAGGGGTGCAGCCTTTGTGCTGGGATTAGCTCCCACATGCCAGCCCTGCAATCACAGCCAGAGCTCCAGAGCCTCCCCCAGCATCCACAAAGGTCAGGCTCAGCTGCTCTGCCCAATTATTCCTCAGCCTGGACAAGAGAAAACACTGGGACTCACGGGCTGGGCTCAACACTTGACTGCAAAATCTGCTCAGCTTCTCTTTCTGGTTTCGTTGCTGCCATTTGGAAGATTTTGGGTGATTATTTTTTTAAATTTACTTTCTCCAGGCTCACTGGGGTTGGAGCACAGAGGCAGAGCCCTGCCCGTTGCTGCAGCGCCCAGGGGTGCAGCCTTTGTGCTGGGATTAGCTCCCACATGCCAGCCCTGCAATCACAGCCAGAGCTCCAGAGCCTCCCCCAGCAGCCACAAAGGTCAGGCTCAGCTGCTCTGCCCAATTATTCCTCAGCCTGGACAAGAGAAAACACTGGGACTCACGGGCTGGGCTCAACACTTGACTGCAAAATCTGCTCAGCTTCTCTTTCTGGTTTCGTTGCTGCCATTTGGAAGATTTTGGGTAATTATTTTTTTTAAATATATTTTCTCCAGTTGGGGTTATTAAACCACCCAGAGCGGGACAAGCAGACCACAAAGGCAACTGGACACCGAGCCTGGACTTTTAAACCCAAGAGCTGTGAAATACTAATCCTGGAGCGAGGAAAAATGGATTTGCTGAGGTTTAGGGGGCCAAAATGATCAATCAGCACACAAAGGACTCCTTCCATCACTAATGTGCTTTTGCTGGGAATAATATATGTAAGAAAAATGGAGTTTTTAACCTTTTCTCCAGAGAACCACTGCTTTTCAGAACTACTTGACGGCAGCGACGGGGATGAAGAGGAAATTCTTGTCTGTGGAGAAGATTTAGAGCTTAATCCTTTTGATGGCTTGCCTTACTCCTCCCGTTATTATAGACTGATGAAAGAGAGAGAAGAGCTTCCAATATGGCAAGAAAAATGTGCTTTCATGGAAAGTTTGCTTCATAATCAAATTGTGATTGTGTCAGGAGATGCTAAGACTGGCAAGAGCTCCCAGGTCAGTACAGCAGACTTGGTTGTGGTTTTTTTAATGTATTTTTAGAACATGTAATAAGGTATGAATTTCAGAGTCACTGTAACTACTGTAATCCAAGTATTAAGGCCAGAAATGGAAAGTGAAATACAGAAGGTGAATAAAGATTAATGCAGTCAAGTACAGATTTAAAATATATTAAACATTTTAATAACTTTCTTCAAGCACTCAAAAAAGTTTGAAGTTACTTTGTGCTTTGGTTCTGGCTAATGCTGTAACAGGAAAGAAATACAGGGGATTTGTCATAAGATAAAGTGACAAAACATTCCCAGGGAATGAAGGATTGAAATCAGCAGCGCTGATTTTCAGGGAGAATTAATGGGCTTTCCCCAAAACATTTGTTGAGCAAATGTTTTCTCCAACAGCACAAAATTACTTTACAAAACTCATGTTAAAAGAAACCACTGAAGCCAAGATCTCAGCTGAGTCTAAGCACACAAGTATCAGTCAGGACTGTGAAATTCTGCTTTACCAATATATAACAACCCAGCTCTGCTGTCACAGTGAGCAGAAAAGTATTTTCAAGTAAGTTCTATCAGCCAAAATACTGTTGTTTATGGCTGGGATCAGGAGAAAAAATTCTTGCAGGTAGAGCTGCAGGATAATTACTGTTACAGGGCATCCCATATATCCTACAGACTTCAATGCTGGACGCTTCTAGAGATCACATTTTAAACGAGAGACATCACACTTCACCCTGAAAATTCCGATGTTCCCATAAAAATGATTCACTCCCGAAGAATTTTTGAAGTGCCAAGTTTTTACCCCTTGTTATTGCCTGCAATTTACACACAAAAAACTTGTGTAATAGTAAACAACTTGCTAAGAAATGTTAGCCTTTAACTTGTCCTTTAACAAGGCAAATTTTATTGAACCTTCACTAAGATGTAGCACCAATTGCTGGTTGGTTTTTAAACATTTCTAGAAATGCATATAACTATACAGAAATAAATTATATGTGGCTGATGCACCTAGGTTTAGATGTTGATTAAATGAAGGATTTGAAACCTAGTACATCCATTAAAATAATATTTATAATGCAATTTTAATTTCTCATAACATCATGGATATTCTCCAGTGTTGATGTTATATAAATATACAAATTAAGGAGTTGCTGTGTGAGTTCACAGAATCACAGAATCACCAGGTTGGAAGAGACCTTCAAGATCATCGAGTCCAGCCCAGCCCCAACACCTCAACTGAACCCTGGCACCCAGTGCCACATCCAGGCTTTGTTAAACACACCCAGGGATCGTGACTGCACCACCTCCCCGGGAAGCCATTCCAGAACTTTATCGCCCTTTCTGTAAAAATTTCTTCCTAATATCCAACTTATATTTCCCTTGGTGCAGGTTGAGACTGTGTCCTCTGGTTCTGTCAGTGCTGCTGGAGAAAGAGCCCAGCCCCAGCTGAGCACAGGCACCTTTCAGGGAGCTGTAGAGGGAGATAAGGTCACCCCTGAGTCTCCTTTCCTCCAGGCCCAGCACCCGAAACTCCCTCAGCCGTTCCTCTTTACAAAAACAGATGGGGAAAAAATTAAATTCATTAAGTGTCGGTGATATTTTGCCCGACGTCTGGGAATAATGGTGCATCTGACTCCATTGATTCAGAAGGCTAATTAATTACTTTATTATACTATATTATACTATATTATTCTATACTATATTACACTACATTTAAACTGAAACTGCACAAGCACTCAGCTGAACAAAATCTTGTGGCTGTCTGCTGACCGACACGCGCTTGGCCCTGACAGGCCAAGGAAACAAAACACCATCACTCTGGGTAAAAAATCTCCACATTGCATTCTGCTTTGGCACAGCAAATGAGACAAGAATCGTTTTGATCATTCTTTCCTCTCCTTCTCTCAGGTTCAGAGGACGCGAATCCCACAGTTAAGCGCTTTTGACAACACGGCCTTGCTCAGCTCATAGCTTTGACCGGCTCGCGGCTCCCAAAGGCGCTGAGCCTGCCGATCCCGTCCAGGCCTCACCAATGTCGTGCTGTCCCCGCAGGTCCCTCAGTGGTGTGCGGAGCACTGCCTGGCCCTGCAGGCCCGCGGGGCCGTGGTGTGCACGCAGGCGCTGCGCCAGGCCGCCGTGGCGCTGGCCCTGCGCGCCGCCGACCAGATGGACGTCGGCGTGGGCCACGAGGTGGGCTACTGCGTCCCCTTCGAGAGCTGCTGCGCGCCGGAGACCATCCTCAGGTCGGTGCCCTGGGAGGCCTTCGGGACGAGGTGTGGCTGGTGGAGTCGGCAGCTGGCAGCGCTGCAGATCTTGCTTTGGAAAGTTGTAGAATGTTTTTAAATCGCCGTGCGCTGAGGGAGAAGGGACCCCACAGGGATCATCAGTTCAGCTCCTGGCCCTGCACAGACACCCAGAAATCCCACCCTGGGCATCCCTGGAGTGTTGTCCAAACTTCTGGAGCTCTGGCAGCCTCAGGGCTGTGCCCGTTCCCAGTACCCTCGGGGGAAGAACGTTTCCCTAAATCCGTCCTAAACCCACTGGCCCAGCTCCAACCATTCCCTCAGTCCTGGCCACCACAGAGCACAGATCAGAGCCTGCCCCGCTCCTCTCCTCACATGGAAGTTTCAGACTGCAATGAGCTCTCTCCTCTCTTCTGCAGAGATTTTGTGATTAATCAATAAGCACTGAAAGCTTTGAAGGAGGCATTCTGGGGTAAATTATAGCAGAGATTTAAGTGGGCAAGGTTACTGTCCATGCAAAACTCTATTAAGCGCCTCAGTAACCTCTTTTTCTTTTCTTCTACTTTTTTTTTTTCTATTTTCCAGTACAGGAGTGTTCATTACCAGTAGAGAACAGAGGATAATTTTTCTAAAGTAAAGTTAAAATTCAAAAGCAATCAAAAAACATGGCTAGAAGAAGGTATATCCAGCAACAAGAGGAAAATAGCATTCAGGGGGATTTTTGGGAGATAAGAAATGCTCTTAATGTAGCAAGTACAGTCAGGTGACAGCAGGAACACAGGGATTCAGATTTTGAGCCTCCCAGAAAGTTCTCAGAGTTATTTTCTCTGGTTCCTTAATATGGGATGCACAAAGTATCGTATCTAGACCACAAGCATTTTTCTCAGCCACTGGTTGCCAGTGGAGAAGAGGATGCTCACCACTTCTGAAAATCAATTTCCATTGCTCTTCCTCTTGCCTGTCCTTTCTCTGTCTGTGGAGAACTCCTTAAACCTCATCCTGCAGCAGAACTTCCTGCAGCTGCTCCTGTTGAGAGAGAGATGAATCCCTTCCTCTCACGCATCAAAACCTGCTTCAAGAATATTCCAAGTCCTGATGAGCAGCACAACAAAAATAATGTCCTTTTAAAAAACTGTCATCAGAAGGGATAGAAGTGAGGAGGGTCTTATGGTATAAATTAATTGCTCATCTTGGTTCTGACTCTGCCTCAAGTGCACCTTATTTTTCTCATCCAAAAGGATTTGTTCCTAGCTCAGGAATTGTTTATGGCATGTGATGGGAGATGAACAGACAATTTCAGGGCAGGAGGATTTCTGCTTTTGCCTGGAGTATCCTTTCCACCACTGTGTCTCTGAGTGTCATTGAATCGCTTCAGGTTTGTAGCTGCTAGAGGAAGGATTTAAACATGTAACTGAGACCAAAAATACTCCCCGTTCTGTCACCCCATTCTTCTAAAGTTCTTCTAAACCTTCTGATGTTTAAATTTTTGTAATGGAGTTTCTCATGCACTTTTCATGTAAATAATGATTGTTTTGCATTCCTTTCTAGAAGAAGAGAGAATTGATGGACTGTTAGTTTGACCAGTGTGGTTAGAGAGGCAGCAATTTCATCCTCCAATCCATGGTCACTTTTAAATTTCTATAAATATCAAGATCCAGAAATGAATGTGCCTTCTTTTGCCTTAGACATCTCAGCATGTGAGTGTCGTTCATTTCGTGCTGTATTGCGACACTGTTCTTATGAAATCTTTCACGTTGGAATGGAAAGAACCAAGCTGCCCCCAAGACACTGAATTAATTTCTTACAATAATAGTCCAAGAAACCTGGTAGAGTTTTGTGTGTCTGTGTTGCAGGTACTGCACAGATGAGATGCTCCAGAGGGAAATGATGTCCACGCCCCTCCTGAACTCCTACAGCGTCATCGTCTTGGACGACGTGCACGAAAGGACTGTGGCCACAGATGCCCTGCTTGGCCTTCTGAAGGAGGTCTTGGCAGCCAGAGCAGAGCTGAGGCTGGTGCTCCTGACTGCCCCCCAGATGTGCAGCACCCTGCAGGGCTTCTGTGGCGATGTGCCCGTGCTGCGCGTGCGGGGCAGGCACCGCGCCCAGGCCGTGTTCTCCTGCAGCGCCCACAGGGACCCCTTCCTGCCCGCCCTCAGGCTGCTCCTGGAGATCCACCACACCAGGGAGAAGGGTGACATTGTCGTCTTCCTGGCATCTGAGCAAGTGAGTTGTTGAACTGATGCCTTCAGTTTTAGTTTTCGTGTTTTCCAGATTCTGTACTGCATTAGGAAATAACTCTGAATTTCATATAAAGTGTTAGCAGTTCTCCTCACAGTTCAGTCACACAAAACAATCCTTTTCTAGGCCCAAAATGTGCAAACAACATCGAACTGGGGAGAGCAATCTGAGAGGATGAGACTTCATAGCCTGGAGCTGGAATTGGACAGTTAACCCCAATATGGAAATGGACCAAAACTTATAAAAGTGTGAGAACTTGTGACACGCCATCCGTCTTGGGTCCATCTACATTAAAAATAGAATCAATATAGTCTCCTATATTTTAGCAAAAATACTGCACAAAGAAACTTGGATTAAACTCCTGGCTGTCCATTCCAGTCAGATATTCTGAAAGCAACAACATTTCAACATTAACCCCAGTATGGAAATGGACCAAATTTTATAAAAATGTGAAAACTCGTGACTCGGGGTCCATCTTGGGTGTAGCCTTGGCCAGGCTCTTGCACTGCCCAAGGTGTATCCTGTGGAGGCCTTTTAATAAATCCCTGCTTTGTTCCTTTAACTCCGTGTAGCCCCTCTAGGAATCAAACCCACTAGGAATCAAACCCGTTCTCTTTCTGAATTTAATCAGTAAAAGTGTGTTTTTATCTGACCTATAAATACCTTGCTGTCAATAGCTAAGACAGCAGCTGTGCCACCAGGTTTTATAACTTCAGGGTTTTCCTTCAAAGAAATCATGGCATGCATCACACTATGTTTTGTACACATAAAATATCTATATAACACATAAATACTGTGCAGACAATATATATATTTTCTGTAAGTTTAAAGAAAGGCCACCATGCTTTTGTGTGATGCAAAAAGCTGTAAAAGCAGCACACAGGGGCACAGGCCACAAGGGCAGGGATTTAATAACCTGTCCTGGCATTGGGCATCCCATAATTTGTGTTATCCCTGTTGGGTGGGAATGGACACATGGACACAGGTCCAGCCTCCATCAATGCCCTACAGCACAGGGGTGTTTTTACCTTCAACCTCTCAAGGAGGATTTTCCATTTGGATTTTTCTTCCCAACCATTTGTGTGCACAGCAGGAGGAAAATATCACTCCAGAGGTGTGACAGAAAATCCAGGAATCTGCACAGGCTTGGCCATTCTAAATAGTGACACCTTTGAATCTCTGTAGACAGCAGTGGTTCCCTAAATTCACTGCACCAGCAGGTCCTTTATAGCTGTCAAAGTGATCTGACAATCAAAGAAATATTTCAGTATTTGTGATTATTATTATTATTATTTTCCTGATAATGATCCCCAATCATCCACTGTGTGTCATTAAATCTGCTTTAGAACAATAAACACCCCAGGAAATAATGACTTTTAACAAGTGAAGATAATTTACCACAAACTACCTAGGTAGTGTTTGTTGCTTTTCCTTTTTTTTTAAAAGGAGAATGGATACGAAACACTTTTAATAATGTCAATAATCAGTTTTAAACCTTATAGACACGAATTTTACAAATGATAAAGTAATGAATTCTCTGTGTTAGTCCCCATGTTTACAATAGATAATGTCAGAGAAAAAACACACACCCTTTCCATTTCAAAAGGTTGGGAAGAAAGTTTTATTTCTGCTTAAAAGGGTTTTTTTGACAGGCAAATTCCCCACAAAACTAGAATAGGAATTTCTTTCTTGCCAAGAAAGATCACCCATTTTTCTCTCTCACAATGAACAGAATTAATGTCAGAGAAAAAACACACACCCTTTCCATTTCAAAAGGTTGGGAAGAAAGTTTTATTTCTGCTTAAAAGGGTTTTTTTGACAGGCAAATAGAATAGGAATTTCTTTCATGCCAAGAAAGATCACTCATTTTTCTCTCTCACAATGAACAGAACACTCATTGCAAACCAGAACATCCCATGAATTCTTGTTTAACTGTGATTTAAAGTTTCATATTGGTAATGGTTCACTGTTCCCAAGCACTCAACTGTCTTTTAAACTAAACAAAAATATGAATTAACCAAGAACACCAGGATTTATGAGCTGCCCTGCTGCCAGCCTTGCTATTAGATGTCACTCTTGTGTCTTTATAACAATTTTTATGGAGCACTTTCAACCTATAACTGCTGGGAATGTGGTGTCACTCTCAAAGAGAAACTCAGTCTGGCTTTTCAATTTTGCAAAACTTTGCTAATAAAAATGCTTTTTAAAAAATTCCCTTTCAGACTGAGGAAGGCCATGAATTATTTTTGTATGCCTTTCAAAAAATCTTGCAGAACAGAAATGGTTTCTTATTAACCTCCCCAACAACAAAACACTAAAACAACAACAAAAGCCTTTACAATTCATATCCAACCTCGGATCTGTGAACTATTTCAAAGGTGATATTCCATCAGTGCAAGTTAGGGACATTTTATTGACTTTATTAAATCTTTACAGGTTTTATTAATCAATGGGGGAAAAAATTCAAACCCTTACAATAATTGCATCTTCTCAAATATAATAATTAAGGGAACGTAGGGAGGTTTCTGCATATTTTGATCATTTCATGTGTTGCAATTGGACTAAGACTATAACAATTTTGTAAGGAAAAAATGTATTTCTCTTGATTGCAGGAAATTGAAAAAGCTTATCAGATGATCAGGCAGGAACAACCCAATTTAAACCCTGACCTTGGAGAACTCATCCCCATCCCTTTGTACCCCACAAAACAAGACCTGACTCCCAAACTAATTCAAAACAAGCAGAAATGCTACAAAAAATACAGGAGGAAAGTGCTACTCACCACCAGCTCTGGAGAACCTCTGATCTGGACTAAAAACGTGACTTTTGTCATCGATGTTGGTGTGGAGAGAAGAAAGGTCAGTGAAGGGAGGAGAAGCACTTTGTCCAAAATAAACTCTGCAAAAGGGATTTTTCAGGGCAGGGGAGAGGGAATTCTGCAGTTGAGATGAATGCAAATAGTCTCTAGAGGATCATGTGGTTTTCTCTTCTTTCACAGCACAGATTGTATGATATTTTTAACATGCAAATTAATAGAATTTAAATCATTTTCATGGACATCTCATGTGAAAACCAAGAAAGAAATCACAGTTACTTCCCAAATTCAATCAGAAATTGGATTTTTGAAGTTTCTAAAGCCAGATGAACACTTCCAGTTGTAAGTTCCACTCATTTGGGCACCAAACCCATGACAGATTGTTTGCAAAATAAATCTCACCTGAGTTCTGGTCTATCAGTCATTAATCTCTCTTCAGTATTTTATACATAAGGCAGAATAAAATCACTTCTTAGGCACCTTTTGGCAGATCTCCTGGTTTAGGAGATTATTCTCATCCCTTAATTAATTACTTAGTAATTGCCACACAGGGAATCTCTATTTTTTCAAGCTGCTTGTGCTCCTCATGGACATGTGCTCCCATCCAAATGCTGCAATTTATCTAATTGCATTAGAAATCATTAGATAAATTAATTAAATTCATTAATTTATTTAATTAATACTTAACCTTTTCTGTTCATTCTAAGTTTGGCCTCATTTCTTGTTTTCCACCATGGGAAGGATTAGTGCAGCTGCAAAAAAAAAAAAAAAAATTAAAAAATCTCGTTTGTATTATTTCTACTAAACTGATTTCCTAAGGGATCGGATTAGTGCAGCTCCAAAAAAAAAAAAAAAATTAAAAATCTTGCTTGTATTATTTCTACGAAACTGATTTCCTAAGGGATAAGTAACTTTGTAGGAACATGAACTGGAGAGCTACACTGCTACAGGTTTTGTAACTGTCCTGGTGAAAATAAAAATTCCAGTAACAGATAAAAGAAAAAAGTAGTACATTTCCATTCTATAATACAAGGTGGAATAACCAAAATTGGAGTTAAGTGTTCCTAACATTTTGGAGCAGGGATCATTAATCCTGATTGGCCTTGCAAGTATTTCAGGGAAAAGCTTGTGAACTACAGTACCTTTCATCTGCATTGCAAAAATCTGTCATTTTAAAAAGTTTTTAACTGGGAATTATGAACTCAGTCTCAAGGAAAATTTTAAAAAGTTACAGTTTTTTGTGCAAGGAAGAAGAGCCCAAAAGCAGTTTCCAATTAGACCGTGCTTATTTCCTAAACTTATTACTACAACGGCAGTTTTCTTGGATGGCAGAAATGAATTTCACTGCCATGGTAACCTGAAGCCCAAAGTACAATTCAACAAATTACAAATTTGGGGAATTTAAAATACAAATCAATGGGAACAAATCAGATCCAACAGTCCTGATGTCTATCAAATCACCTCTATCATTGATGCAATTTTTACCTTTAATTCAATAATTTTGTTTAGTCCTGTGATATTCCACCCCTCACAGTTCAAATTCCCATTCAGCCAAAGTCAGCTGAGCACTGAGGGAACAGGAAAAGTTCAGTGCAGAGCAAAATCCCACCTGAGCCTTGCAGCTGGGATAAATCAGCAATTCACCTGCAGGAAAAGAAATTTGTGCCCTGCACTGGAGGATATTTTTTTTAATCTTTTTTTTAAAATCTGCTTAAAGCAGATAGAGTTGACTCAGAAGGCAGGAGTAGAGAGCTGCCTTATCCTGGCAGTTTTATGTCTTGTTGGACACCACAGGCTTGTGGGCAGAGCAGGGAGTGGATCAGCTCCTCAGATTAATCCAAATAAAGCATAATGAAGATAACTATAAAATATGGCATCATATGCCTCTAATGCAGCCCTCATCTCCTGTAATTTCAGTATTAAGACAAAAATCTGGAGTTAGGCAGCAAAATGCTATTAGAAAAGGTTGGGATTCTGTCACTGCAAGAAATAAATAATATTTTCTGATGTTTTTCCTGATGATACCATTTTCTGCTTCAGTAAGGTACATTTCTTCAGGGGAAAAAAAAGACATTTATCTCAGAGCACATTTAGAGCAACTGCAAAACATCTATCAGTTTGTCAGGGTGCTGAGTGCTCTCCTTCCCAAGCTGCTGAAACAAAAAGAAATGAAAACTGTTACTACCCTTCCTGTAAAATGACCTAGAGAGAAATTCAGTACAGACCATTCATATTTTTGCAGCCCTTGTGTACTTGTCTGATGCTTGGTGTCTCTTTCATTTAAAGGTGTACAATCCTAGAATCAGAGCAGACTCTGTTCTAACCCAGCCTATCAGCCAAAGTCAAGCAGAGGTGCATAAACAAATTCTGGGCATGTCTCCATCAGGTAGAAATATTAGCTCAAAATTTAAATCCATTAGCTCAAATTAATTAATACAATCAACATGGCAATGTGAGGAGGAAGCATTTTAAAAAAGGTAATTTTCCTGAATTTTCTTCCAGGGAAAATCTTCTGCTTTTATCCTGAAGAATTTACATACAAGGAAATGAAGCCAGAAATTCCAGCTAAAGTTCAGGAATCCAAACTCACCAGCTTGGTCCTGTTCCTGAAGAGGATGGACATAGCAGGCTTTGCACACTGTGACTTCATCAGCAGCCCAGGTAAGGGCATGCACCAATTTCTCATATTTTTATCATTATTTTAGAAGCTCTTTCCAGGTTATTTTTACCCTGTCACTCACAGGGTTGTTTTTTATTTAAGGACTTGTAATAATATCACCCTGCTTTTCCCACTTACATGCTACAGCCATTCTCAGCTCAATAACACTTAGAAAAAAGATCATAAAGTATCTGGATTGAATTGGAATGCTAAAAAGAAAAATCAATATTCCAAGTATCTTCTCATCTAGGTTACATATTGTTTTCCTGTAACCCACAAAGAAAATTTGTGCCCTGTTGTACAATGTATTGTACAGATATCCAACAAAATATATTCCTTTAATCAAAAGTTTACAAGCCAAAAAAACCACTGTTGTTACCTGGGGGATATGTGTGGAGGAAATGAGCTTCCTCCCTATCCTCCAGCATCTCCCACCTCAAATTTACAATGGGCTGATCCTTAAGGACAATATTCCCTATAAAATAAACCCAAATACACTTTCAATACTATGCAGGGAAGACACTGAATTTTCAGGTAAGAGAGTGAAGGAAGTTGCCTTTTTTTTCCCCCAACTTCATAATTTAGGGTTTTTTCTACAGAAGGATATTTTCCTCTGTTCTGGCTTATCACAAAACCCAAGTGCCACTGCAGGTTCTGCTGTTGCTTTGAAACCCATTAAAGAGAGGGAAATAGCCCTGATTTCATTGGTTTGGGGACTGCTGGCTTCATTCTTGAAAACTTTCCAGTGCAAACAGTAAAATTTCTTCTATTACCCTGCCTTTCCTTGTGCACATACACAAAACTGGAATGATCTCTTCTATGTGTTGTTCACTGTAATTAATCAGTAATAAAGTTTAATTTGTGTGGGATGTTGCAATAGACAGTTAAATGGAATTTTAAGAAAAAATTTTTTTCTACTTTTCCCTTGTGTGTCTGTTTAGCAGAAACATGCCTAAAAGAAATAGGAAAAAACATGACCAGTCTGATGGTAATTAATTCAAAAGCAATGAGAGTTGGAGTATTTTGGCCTTGTGTCACCTCCTGTGCTGAACCCACGAAATCTGCATGGAAAATGCTTCTGGAATATTTTGCTCCCATTCAAATTTAAAATATATTTTGCTACTAAAAAAATATGCTAAAACATATTAGTGTTCTTCCTAGATATGAAGAAAGTTAGTCTTGAACTGTAGAAGGAATTAGTAAAATTATATGAGGGAAAGCATGTGGCATTTTTTGATTTAAAGGGACAGCATTCAGAGAGAATGAAATGCTAAAGGCACATAAGGGTTTCACAGAGCAGGAATTCTAAGTTTTTGCTGTATTTTTGGATAATGCAGCTGAAGAAAGCATTGTCCTGATGTGTAAAAAATTGTGAAGGTATTTGCTGAGTGAAAGAATTGGCTTTACTTGGATGGACATCACATACGACAAAGCCTTTGCTGACTAGATCAAGAGTGTCAGCTGCAGGTACTGAAAAGTTTTAGGAATTACTAAATTATTGTCCACTAAGTACAGTGGACAAACTGCCTGAACAAAGAAAAAAATCCCACAAACTGCTTGAACAAAGGAAAAATCCCACAAACACTGCAGGGGTGCTCTGAAAGGAGAGGAGAAAGTCTGCACAACTTCCTTGGCTGCTTCCTGCCTTACACAGTTAAACATTTGAGACACAGCTTTGATGATCCAGCACAGCTCTTCCTGTAACCAGGACACATCACACACTGTCTTTCTTTCCAATTTGGAGCAGGCAGTGAACTTTTTTCCTACCAGCACTTGGATTGATCCCTACAGAATCCCCCAGAGATGAGAGCAAAGCTCCCCCAGTCAGAACACAGAGTTTGAAGTGCCTGCTGTGAAATTCTCTGACAGAAACTGGAGCACTCAAGGGAGAAATTTGTAAGAGGAGTCAGTTCTTGTGTTGGACCAGCTCACAGAACTCAAAACACATCAGGATTTCAGGCACACAAACCCAAGGATAGCTGGAAGGGACCTTAAAGATCACCCAGTTCCATCCCTGCCATGGGTTTGGCTGTTCCATGGCTCTTCACCTCCTTGGAGCTGAGTTCCCTTGGAGTAAAAGTAAAAGCATTGCAGCATCCCCTGTGTGCCACAGGCTTCCTCTGCTGTTTCTGTCCAACAAACATTCTCACCTTATCTTTGCAGCTGAAACACAGGGAGGCTTTAGGGGTTCTGACAGGTGGTGGGGTCATCATCCCTGGGTGTGTTTAACAAAGCCTGGATGTGGCACTGGGTGCCAGGGTTCAGTTGAGGTGCTGGGGCTGGGTTGGACTCGATGATCTTGAAGGTCTCTTCCAGGCCAGTGATTCTGTGAATTCTAGGTGAATTTATCCTAAGAAAAAAATCAAATTTTCACTGAGATGGCAGAGCAAGACATGGGCATGAACTGGTGAACAAACAAATCAGAAGGACACTGGAATTCATAGCAAGAAGTACTTCTCAATCTGTTTCCTGCACATGGAGAACGTGCAGCAGATAAGAGATAAAAAATACATCAGTAAAACATTTTATTTCTGCTCAGCAACAATGTGCACAAGGGAATTTTTTTTTTTCTGCTGCTCTTTGAGGAGAAATAAAAGCCTGGATTAGGTCTGACTCATTACTGCATTATGAAAGCAACAAACATGTCAGGCTTACAGCTGCTGCATTTAATTCATGCCATAATCGAGAGCAGCAAATGCAGCAGAGCTCGTTCCCCTTTCTGGAATTCATGAGCCAGACGAAAATGAACCTGGCACTGCAGCTCCAAGGTGCATTAGAGGGATTCCTGTGCCCCTAGAACAGGGGTGTGTTTACATCCTGAGCAGTTAATATGATAGATCTTTGCTGGGGTTTATAATGGGACAAAAGAATTCCAGTCCCAAAGATGGCAGCAACGTTGAGTACTTTTGTAAATCACTGGAAAATCCTTATTTAAGCTAAGTGAATCATTAGAAAGATGAAACCATGTAAAATTTCTCTGTGGGATCAAGAGGAAAGCATTTGCAGATTCTGCATTCATTCAGAATTTCCCTAAACAATTTTCAGATTAAAGGATGTATTGATGGTCATGACCATGACATTTGAGAGCTATGATTTCACAACCCCCTGGAGAATATATTTCTAGAAAATCCAGAACAACAAGAGTTGTATAAATTTATACAATTTCAAACTGTTTCAGAAAAATAAATTGTTGGCATATTTTCACTGGAGACTGCCAAAGACAGAAACTCAATGCACCATGCTCAACAGAGATCACTTCAGGGCAGATTTATTATCTTAAATTTACTTGTTAATTCTTTGATGTTTTAGATTCTGGATTTCATCAATTAAATGATGTGTGCAGACATTATTCAGTATATTCTGTCAGGACAGGGCAGGTCAGGCTCTCTCCTGGTTGCTCCTGCTGGCAGAAAACACAGCAGGGACCATCACCAGCCAGACTGGAGGAGTGATGAAGCAGCGTGAGGGGGAATGGAAATACTGTAAAGTATGAGTTTAGGGAAGCAATTTTTACTGATCAACTATCATTTCAAAATAATAGTTGTAACAGGTAGCTTCAGAGCAAAACAGACACATAAAAAATCCTGACTCAGAAGGTACAGGGGGAAAAGAGAATCAGGACAGAGAAACTTGTGCTTGCAGAAGAAAAATCTTTGCATAATTTGAGGAAAGCTTGGCATAGACTCCTCCATCTTTTCAGTTTGCTGTCCAGGGAGCAGGGTTAGAAAGCAGGAACAGCAAACACCACTCCACAGGACTGCTCTCCCTGCAGTAACTACTTTGGCAGCTCTTTCTGCTGTTCAGCCCAACAGAACCTGCAAAACCTGTGGTGTGCCAGGCAGGGCATCAGCCCCTTAAACACAACATCCCTTCACCTGACATCCGTAGCAGCTCTAACTTTTTAAGTTATTCCTCTGGAAGGAAAAAATCTATCAGAAAAAGGTATTTTACATCCTCAGCATTTGCAGAGTAGAAGATCAGAACAGGAGGTGTAGATAGCTCCAGAGAAGCACAAGAGAGCAATTAAATGAACTATTAAAAATCACAAAATTTAAATTTCATTCCTATCTCTAATATCCACTTATTACAGACCAAATCCCTAAATCACTTGCTTCCTAATGCAACAAGAATAATACTTTGGAATTTATTTGCTCACACCTTGAGCACTTGCATTTCAGCCATCTGGGAAGTGGTGCTGAAAACTACAGGTGTAGCTGCCTTTAGAGACAGAATTTACCCTGTTCACATCAAAGTTACAGAAATGTGAAACCAAGAATATATTTTTAAGTAGCTTGAAACTCTCAGATAAACTATTCCAGTGCTAGCAATAACATTAAGTTATATATTTGCTTTCCTAAGCCTAAGAAGGATCAAAAGCAGGATCTGCATTTACATAGAACTGGTCAGATTTCCTGAAATGGGTCCAGAGCAACCAGTCTTGAGCAGCCAAAGAACACAGAGCAGGGGAAGAAAATATCAGATTAGGAAATACCTTTTAAAATTCCAGGGATGTGACAGCTTCTTGTTGAAAGCACAGGACACATCTTGAGAGGTTTTTAGAGCTTTGCTGCTGTGAAAGCAGCAGTGGAATCACAAATCCTCGTGGTTCACACCTCAAGGCAGCAGTGGCTGCTGCTGGCATGAAGCCCTAAAAAGCCCTGCTCTGGTGTTTTATTTTTGCTTTTTTGCTGTTCCTTCACCTGCTCTAATCCACCTTTACTGTCTTGTCCTTTCTAGAGCAATAAAACTCCAAGAATCTTTTTTTTGGTTTTTTTTTCCAGAACATTCATAGCAAGACAAGGGAAGTAATTTGTGCTTATAAATCTCAAGGCAACTAACTCTAGGGCATAAAAATGCAAATTACTGATGCCATCAGGGGGTTGAAATTGGCTGCCATATAACCATGTATTTTGTGAGCTCTAGCAACAAACTACTTTGTTGAATTCTGGAAAATAGCTTTCCATGATCTCCTAGCAATTACTGCACATCTGAGTGACCCTTTTACTATCCCTGTATTTTCAATCTTTCAATCACTGATTTTTATTTCCTGTCACTGAGTCATATTCATCATCAGCTGCTACTTCTCATTTCTTTAAAACTCCTCATTATTTTCTTCTCAGATGTTTCAATTCTTGCAAGGGCTCATCGTTTATCCCACTAAATCCCATAGTTTGTAATAAATATCCTCTCTGGATAGAATTGTGCAGGCAGAGGGAAGAACTCTGAGACTGAAATGAAGCAGGTCCACAGTTTCAAAAGGAATTTACAGGTTCCTGAGAGAATTTGTCTGAAATCTGGGTGTTCTAAACTTAACCAAGGTCACATTAGCAGATTGAGAAGTTCTGGAAAAGCTCATGTAAGGGGAATTAATAAACCATTTTCCCCCTTCAGACATAAAAGAATGAGGTTAAAAGCAACAGGTGCTTATTTGCTTCCCATTTTACTTTTTCCTTGACTATAAGTGGTTAATTCCAGAGAGATGGCAATAAACAATTCACTGCTAATGAAGTCAAAACCTGATCTCAAGATTTTCTTGCAGAATGTGTGGGGAAAGTGTGGCTAAATGTGACCTAGCAGCTAATTACAGCCTTTTAGTCTTGGTGATGCCATACACATTCCCACACTTAATGAATGCAAGAAATTGTTTCTAGTCATCTACTAATGAAGATCCAAGTGCAAATCCACCCCCTGCCTGTGTGGGCAGCTGTGCTTGAGGTCTGGATATTTTATTTAGGGATTTTTTTCCCCATTAATGTATAGACTGACAGCAGCTGACAAATGGCCAGCGCAGTTTCCCAGGGCTGGGGATGAGGCCAAGTCCTGCTGCAGTGGAATTTCTGCCACCAGCTTCAAATTTAACTTGTTATCCATAAAACTGAGAAAATATCAACCAGATCCTTAGGCTGGAGTAAGGAGAAAGCTGCTGCACTGGTTGGAGAGCAGTTGTGAATGTAAATGAACTGCTACCCATGGAAGATATTGACCATTCCAAATAACCTGGAACAGAAATCTACCTTGGAAAAGAGCTGGGAGGAAAGAACCTTAAAGAACCTTCACACTTCAGGAGTTCCCAAATTTCCACCCATGTTTTTCATGTTCTGGAAACATTTTTTTGGAATGTAGACCTGACAACTTCAACTTGAGGTTCAGTCTCTCGACCATATAAAGCTCTTCTATGATTGTTTGACCTCCTTTTATCACCATCAGATTTCCTACAGACTTGCTCAATTCCTAATTTTAAGTGTTGATTTGCTTAATCCCATCCTCTCTGGACATTTTCTTATATTCCTCATTATTTTTGCTGCCTCACTGTTCTCACTTCTACCTATGGAGGTTGTAAGGAAGTTATAACCCACACTAAGGGAAAAGTGAACATTGAGTTTTGTGGGGTGAGAAAGTACAACCAATTGCTAGGGAGACATTTTCTTTTACTACATTCCCATTTTTCTTCTGGTATTATGAGAATCTATGTTAAAAAAGTATAATAATTTAAAAGGCAACCAAGAAAACTCCAAATACTTGCAAGAATAACAGTTATAACTTCTGTAAATATCTGAATTCTGGTTAAAAAAGATCTTGCCTAGACCTGCATCTCAGCACCCCTCAAATGTGACCACCCCTCTTAAAAAAGAATGAACATAAAAAACCCCCCCAAAAAACCTGCCAATAATGAGAACCAAACTGAAAACTGCCAATAAAAGAAGCAGTTTTGACAGAGTCTAGGGTTATTGAGGATTGTGTCTGGGCTTTTGACAAAAAGTGTTCTGACATTAAAAGTATCAACAAAGTGATTTGCAGCTCTATAATTTTCACCTCTTATATTCTTTCTCCAGAATTTTCTCAGCCTTCCGTTCATCCATTACTTTTTGTTCTTAATCACTGTCAAATAAAAGAAGTATCATTTTCCCACAGCTGAAATATTACAATGAGTGTTCAGACATTCATTCCTGTGTGTTCCACTCTCAAGAACTGGAATTCTCTTCCCTTTTCCTTAGCTCCTGAAAGCCTGATGCAGGCTTTGGAAGACCTGGATTATCTGGCAGCACTGGACAACGATGGAAACCTCTCTGAATTTGGGATTATTATGTCAGAATTCCCCCTGGACCCTCAGCTGTCCAAGTCACTGCTGGCTTCGTGTGAATTTGAGTGTGTGGATGAGATGCTCACCATTGCAGCCATGCTCACAGGTACTCCTGGATCAGCTCTCACTGCAGGCCTCGTGCCACCTGCCCAATCCAGACTCCTTCCAAAACTATCCACAAAAGCAAATTTTTGTTATTCTCATCCTGCTTATTTCAGGTAAATGAATATATTTGGCTGTTCAAATCTTAACTGTAAGGATACAAGGAAAGCTAAGTAAAGAATTTCCACAGAGAATTCCATTTCCAGGATTCAGCTGCCCATTGGCTTCCTCCCTTTTGTAAGAAACATCCCTTCAAAATGAAACTTTCTTATTTTAATCTGCATTTGTGACAGATCAGTGCAGCAAAATAAATGAAGTTCTAATTATAAAACATTGAACTGTGTACCTACAAAGAATTACTTTGTGATCTTGTCTCTCTACTTCAAATATTGTATAAAATTGACATAACCTTGGAGTCTTGGGCAGCAAACACATGAACCACAGGATATCAAGCTGCATGAGTTGTTCTTGTAGGACAACTTTTCTTGCCCAAACTGGGTTGATTTTTAACTTGTGATAGTTTTTCTAAAGTACATATAACAAATGTAAATGATTGAGCATAGGCACAATTCAATTTTAGAAAAGCTCAACCATCTCAAAAGATACGAAAGTAAAATGCACTGGAAAGCACAAATTTCAACACAGAGGGGGAAATTAAGCCATTAAATCAAAAGATGTCTTTTTATAATAAAGAAACCATTTGTTGGATTCTGGCTAAATTAGGTTGTGACATTAGGAAGCTTTTTTGGCATCAGTCTGGGAGAAAGCTGCTCTTTTGTGTTTGCAACACATATTAATTATACACAGTGTCTGTGGATGTTTCTGTTTTTCTGATTCCCACAGAACAAGACTGGAAGGACACCCACAAAAGAAACCCTTAGTGAATGCAGCAGGTTCAGTTCTTCAGCACCGATCCAATACTGGGGGTTAAAGACAATGGAGGAAGGAAAAACCCAAAAAATACCAGCGGGGTTTTGTGCTTGCACCTTGTGTTTTCACCACTGGCTTGGTTTTTCCTCAGCTCCCAGCTGCTTCCTGCACGCCCCTCCTGGCACAGAGGAGATCGCTCGGAGCCGCTGGCGCCGCTTCTCCCACCCTGCAGGAGATCACTTCACCCTCATCAACATCTTCAACGCCTTCAAGGCAGCCACTGCCAGCCCCACACACCCAGGCAAGTGTGTCCGAGCCAAAATAAGCACACTGGGACCAGTGTGGGAAAAAAACAAACCCAAAACTTGGGTGATCCTTTCTAAAATTGCTGATATGTGGGGAGAAACCTATGGGAGTAGCTATTGCTCAGTTTCCCCAACAGCCCGCCACACAGCTAAAAATCTTGTGAATTGAATAGGACAGCTGTGAACTGAAAGGAAAATGTAAGGGACAAGTAGAAATAGTAAAGTCCACATTTGCAGGAACACAAATAAAAGCCAGGAGACTGCAGAGCAGCAGAAGCTCTTCACTGCATTTTTCCCCTGCTCAAGCATCCTGCTCCAGTTCATTTAGCCAGAGTCCAGTGCTCAGACAGCAGAGGGATAAATTTGCACACACTGAGTAAAAACTTGAGACAGGGAATCAGGATTGTCTCCTGTTCAGTCATGTGGAATGCTGAAGGGAGCTCCAGGAGAACCAGTCCTTCACCAGAGTGCAGCATCAGCACCAGCACTACAGGAGTGATTTCAACTCCATATCCTGGCCTAAATCCACAAGGCCTGAAAAATAGAATTGCTACTCATTCTCTGGGAACATTTACTTATAACAGAGCAAAGAAGGGATTAGATTCAGGAAGAAATAGCTGAAATTCTATGAAACTAACTGAGGATATAAAATATTGCCCACTTTGTGAGCAGAGCCTAAGCTGTCTGTAAGGCTCATTACCAGAGTTTTGCACATCATCTGCAGCAGTGCAAGAGCATTTATTCCACAGAGCAGCACCTGTGCATCAGTGAGATTCTGCTTTAAGCCAGAACATTGTTTTTTCCCCCCACAGACCTCAGCAGTGAGCAATGGAGCCGTGATTATTTCCTGAGCTGCTCTGCTCTGAGCATGGCAGAGACGATCAGAGCCGAGCTGGTGGAGATCATGAAGCGCATTGAACTTCCCATCTCAGAGCCAGACTTTGGATCAGAAGCAAATCTACTAAGCATTAAGAAAGCTCTTTTATCTGGTTACTTCATGCATGTAAGGAAAAACACTGTGGTTTCATCTTCCCGCACTGTTAAATTATGTAGAATGCTTTCAGAAAACTTAAGTTCATTAGTGAAGTCTCTTGATTAACATAAAAGCCTTTTTTTTTCCCAGTGTATCAAACACTTCTTCCCATTTCAGCCTTTTCTCTGGGGTTCATCTCTCGCTGCATGGAGTTCACACTCTCCACAGCAAGAAAAAAACTGCCAATATGCCTTTCACTCAAGGAACTCTTACACCTCAAAAAACCTCTTGAAATTGCAATATTCTCTCAGGAATTATCTCTTTTTTGAAGGTGAAAATTGCCTGGAAATAGAGAAATGACTTGGATATATTTAGGTGTGCATAACAGACAGCTTGCCTCATCTCAGGAAGGCACTCTAAGTGTAATTGTAAATGTAAACTAGATTGATTTATTCCCACTTGAGTCTCACTTCACATCCCTGTGCACCGTCTCCACACAAAAATTACCTCTCCCAAATGCACATTTCATGGCCTGACACATTGTATTTAAAAGTCTCTGAAAAGTACATATGCTGAAGAATACTTGTTTTATGTTTTCACACAGGACTGCAAAGCCAAACTCGGATACTTTTGTACTTAATTTGTTGCAGCTTCCTTTCAAATGCACAGATCAACATTTTCTTCAAGTCTCATTTCATGGTATCCACTCCCAAGCTTTCCCACACAAACTTGGGAAGAGGTTCCAGTTGAAAGTATCTGAAGGGAAGTTTAATTTCTGGTTTAAATCTAAAAGGCACTGGTCAATTAAATAATGGCTAACTCTCCACATTGTTTGTTTTTTAGATTGCTCGTGACGTGGATGGCTCAGGGAACTATTTAATGTTAACACACAAACAAGTGGCCCAGCTCCACCCCTTCTCATCCTATCACAACAGCAGGAGGATTCCAGAGTGGGTTTTATTCCATGAGTTCAGCATCTCAGAGGGAAATTCCATCAGAGTCGTCTCTGAGATCTCCCCCCATCTGTAAGTGAACCGTGATGCAACTGCTCCTTCACTCCTAAAGCCACAAAATCATCACTTTGGGAGGATAAAAAAAATTAAAAGGGAATATCTGTGATCTCAGGCCCCCACTATTCTCAGTAGTTGCCACTGTAACTGTAATCAATTGAAAAAGCCCTCATTATGAGCTGCAAAAGTTTCTTCCAAGGTACAATATATAGAAAAAAATTCAGAGTTAACAGAGCAGTGTACTCACACACGAATCCAGCTGGAAAGGTCTTTGTTCCCTGAAAACCTATTTTCCAGCAAATCCTTTTCTCACCATATTTTCTGTACCCAGCCAGCTGAATCACGGACTGTTTATGGATTCAGGGAGAGACCAGAGTCCTCCTCCTGCAAAAACCTCTTTACACAAAGAATATACATTTCACTCTCCCATCTTTTCTATTTCCCATGTTTACAGGAGAGCTTTTTTCATAACGTTATTGAACCACTCTGCTCTAAAGCAGGGAAATTCCTATTTAATGCAACCTGCAGCACTGGGAACTGCATTGCAGCTCAAGTGCAGGCTGAGGATTTTCAGTGCCAGGCTACTGAAAGCACAAACTCCTACTAGATCTTGCAGAGAATCTTGGATTCTTGCAGAGTTTTGGGTTGAAGTACCAACTTTGTAGCTTCTTTTAGATATGCCTGGAAATAATTGTTCAAATATTTGAAAATTCAATAAAAATTAATAACGTTTTGTGTGATTTCCTCCCCAGATTTGCAGAGCTGGTACCTCAGTATTATTTCAGCAATCTTCCTCCAAGTGAAAGCAAGGATATTCTTCAGGAAGCAATCAATCACTTGGCACCTGTTTCAGCCACAAAGGAGGAACAGCAAACTGCCAGTGACAGCGAAGAAAATGAGGAATTTCCCCAAACTCCCCCTGAGCAGAGCTGTGTTATTCAGTGAATGTAAACTGAACCATTACATATTGGACAATAAATAAAAGCAATACATCCAAAACACATCCCCACCTTAACCTACGTAATTATTTCAAACTTTTGACATAAATATATTTAAAAGAAGAAACAAAGAAAAAGCAGTTTTCTCAACAAAAGGAGTTGCATGCATTGTTTTGGAACAAAACCACATGGTTTAGCTTTGGTTAAAAAAAAAAAACATTGGACAGATATTCAGGTTTTGACACTGGGTTTTTATTGACTGCTTCATGATGATATCAAAGTAAAATAAGATGCAATATTTAAAAATATTCACTTGTTGATATTTTTGGTTGTACAAAACCGTTGACTCAACAGCAGTCCTGCAGCTAGTGTGAGGTCACAGTCCTGCATGGCTGCTCTGTAAAAACCTGCTGTTTGCAGGGGAGCTCAGAGTGAGAGATAATCTTTGAGTTTATCCATAATTCCATGGATTCCATCAGCTGGAACTACAATAACTGTCCTCAGAGGCTTCATGGGTACATCATCAAAGGACCATCTGCCACCCAGACAGGTGTCACTTTCCTCTTGCACAGAGTAGTTGAATTTCAGAAGGGCTTTCTGAACAACAGAAATAAAAGCTTTCAGATTAAAATGTTTAATTAGCATGAAGATAATACATCATCCAAACAAAGGGAAAATAATGAACCTATTATGCCCATGCTTATCAAGAAGTTTTTTCCCCTCTTGAAGTGTCCACCAAGAAGAACAACCAAAAAATCCACTATTTGAAGTATTTTAAACAAACATTTTATTTTCACAGAATTGATATCTTTCATATTAAATTCTATAATGTTTGCTACCATTATAGTTTGGGATGAGAGAGATAACCTAGGAGGGAGGGCAAAAAAAAATCAATGTTCTCAGGCTCTGCTGCTTTCAGGGCCTACTCTTAAAACTGCCCACACTCCTAAAAATTAACAAATGTTTATTTTTATGAGTAAAAATCTAACATTAAAGGGATGTGCACCAAATGAATCCTGAGGAGAATTTCAGAAAGCTCTTGGAAAGGTTCCAGATAGCTGAAGTAACTGGAACATCCATTTATGCTTCTCCAGACAGGCAGGTGTCTAGAATGTGCATTATTTGTTTTCAGGGATGTAAACCCCATACAGAAAATCCCTTTTCATCAGCTTTCCTGGACAAAATTCCTGATGGATCAGAAGAACAACCTAATGAATATTTCTAGTTCTCACACAAGTCAGATGAAGAGCTGAACCATCACGTAGAAAAACTCACCTGATTCCTTCCCTTTGGGGGAAAATTAAGATCCACTCTCCTTTTAGGCTTGTTTTCCACTAACGTTGTATCAAGGCTTTAAATCTCATTTTGGATGAATTAGCACACTAACTGAGTGGCTTTGCTCAGGAACAATTTGAGCACCTTTAATCAATTCCAGGTCTGGCTATAATAGATTTGCTGGTTATAACTTTAAGGAGCAGAAGGAAGCCCAGGGCAGAGCCAAGTGCAGGAAAAGGCTTCTCTCAGTTTGATATGGCTCCAAGTGCCTCACCACATTTAATGCTATTTGATATCTAATTAACATTATGTGTGATCAGGGAGGACAGACACTCAGCACTAATTTAACACTCACACATTATTAAGTACAGAGAGACATTGAATTTAATACCCTACATAATGTTTAAAATTATCTTTTTAAAACACTGGAAAGACTGTTAAAAAGAAAAATGTGCTCAGTTTGAGTCTATCCTTTTGAGCTGAGAATTACTGGAGTTTTGATGAAAGCACCCAATTAGCCTTTAATAAATAACAAAGCTGAGATAAATAAATTTAAAGCAGGCCTTCTACAACAGAACACCCGTGGACACATGAGCTTCACAGGCTTCTCCCTAGCAGGTTTCAGTAACATTTTACACAGAGTTCAGCTTCAGCAGGAACACAAAAACAAAATCCACAACTTGCTAATGCACAGAGCCTACAACACAATTCCCTACAGCCACCAGTGAATTCCCCCACTTATATTTCTCTCACTCCCAAAAAATAAAATTACAGCCCTATCACAGCCTCTGTCAGAACGATCACACACAGAAACCTTTGCCATTAACCACCCCATGCATGTGCAATTCCTTTGCCCTGCAGGCACTGCCAGAAATGAAAAACAACAGCCTCTTGACAAAGTAATGATATTGTATAATAGTGGTTTTAAAGCTTTGGGAACCAAAAAAAAAAATGAAAAAAAAAAAAAAAAGAAAAAAAGAAACCATGAAAAATTCTTTGCATTTCAAAGCACATTTTAAATTTAATTTCCTGCATTTTCCCCTCACCTGATCTGGCTTGGGACCAGCAGAATTATGTAGCCAGGTTGCCTTAGGAAATGGGAAGTAATATTTTCATCTCAGTGTTTCACCACTTTTTATTAATATACCTGCCCTGAGTAGAATAGAGACAGAAAAGGGAAGCAAGAGCCATCTCTTAGGATCTCCTTACATTTTTATTCTAAGCATTTTTGGCAAGTAACAGGTACCCAGGAGGAAACAGATAAATCAATGCACAAAATGAGGTTGATTGCTCCTCTCTCAACACTACTCCAAAACACCCTGGATTTAATTTTAAAGTATTTGTGATCATCTTGATAAAAGCTCCCCTTGAATTTGAGGTGAAACATCTCTTGTTGATGACATGTAAAGAAAAAGAAGCATTTAAAATTAAATAATCATGTTACCTCATGAAAAAATTCTTCCTCTGCATTTGCAAACATTAATTCCTCCTTTGGCTGATTCCTCCCTTCCTTCCTCTTAGAATTGCTCTTTGTGGCCTCTGTAAAGGTCTTGCTGATAAGGAGGTAATAGTGACACTTCCCACAGGGTTTGTTTGTTCTCTGTGCCTCAGTCAGCTCCTTCCTGAAGAGGAATGAGTGTTTACACAATTTAAATCCTAAACAAGCACATAACCAAACCTTGTAATGTAGTGGTATAGAAAGGACAGTCAAATGGCAGCCTGTTCTTTTATGACTACCTCAGAAATCAATTTTGCAGATGCCATTCCTGGAACTTCAAAATACTATTTGTACTTCAAACTATCAAAATATGGATGTTTTTTCTCAGCTCATAGGAGGAACCCTTTTTTCCCCAGAATTCTGTTCATGGTAGTGTCTGTGCATGATTCTATGTGCAACTCCTTAAAAATACATCACATTATCACTCCCTTGAGGAACTGTAACTGAAAAGACAGAAAATACCCTTGCTCAGCCTTGTGTTCAACATGTTGTCACTCCAAAACCTTTAAGACAAAGAGGCTGAGATCTGAATTTGAGCTGTGACAAGTGCTGAATTGGGGAGACCTCAGTCTGACTTCTAATCTCATCTCACGTGAGAGGAAAGAAGGCAAAAATGAAAGAAGAAAAAGAGATGATCTCCATTCAATTACTGGTTCCTTATCCAACAAAACTTCCTGTTCCCAGCTCTCAGCATGGCACTGAAATAATGTAATGCTGTGTTTCAGTGGATTAATTTATTTACATTCACCCAGCTTTTGATATAATCCATGAATTAGCAGAGATCAACCAGCACTTCACCTGCTCTTTCATTCCTTGAAACTAATCAAAACATTGCATATTTACATGGGTCAAAACTAATTCACCTTTTAATCCTTTCCCTCAGTCCAAATCTCCCATTCCTGAGCCAGACATTAACACAGAAACAGAAACACCCAAGCTGCTAACAAAGTTCTCATTTTTAAATTTTCCTAGACCAGTGTGAAAGTCATCTGCAACACAAAGATAAACTGCAACACACACACAGCTATTTCTGCAGAACAGCACATGTGCTCAAATTATATCCTCTACAGAATTTGAGAAAGTTTTGTACCTTTATAAAGACATAAAAATATTTTTAAAATTAACTAAAGACCATATATGAGATCATTTTTGTTCACACTTCACTCATATCTACAGCATCAGCTGTCTTAACACAGTTCTATATACATAAGAATTCTGAAAAATATGATGAAAAATATGATGAAAAATACCACTCAGCATCATGGAATTAAAAAATAAATCAGCAAACCTACTGGAGCTGCTGGTGCATGGGCAGAGCAATCTGTGGAGGGACATTGATGAACCTCTCACTCAGGATGAGCCCCACAGGCTTGGTGCTGTCGTTGAGGAGTTTACTCAGCTGCTCCACCACGCGCTGCTCGCAGCTCTGCTCGCAGCGACTCAGAAGCAGCTCTTTGATTTGCTCAGCACACTGGGTGCCCTGCAAGAAAAAGGTGCATTTTCTTTACCTGATACAACAAATGTTTACACAAGAAAATCTTGAAGGTCACCTCTGAAGGAACTTTCTACAGGCCTGGTGGCAATTTCCCTCAGCAGCCCCTAAAGCACAGCACAATTGCTTTGAAATCATTCTCCAGCCCTGAAGCTGAGGGCAAACAAAGCTTGTGAAGGGATGGGAACAAGGAACTGCAACACCACGGTGTTGCAAAACAAAACTCCAAACTGCAGAAGATCAAAGGGAGGAAATACAAGAGATTGACAGCTCATTTATGATGGAATTTCTAGGCCCAGTTTTAACTCTCTGTTTCATTCTCTGCTTCATGTTTGACCCTCAGCAAGTTACTGCACTCAAAAAAAGCTAAGGCACTTCAAGTTTTATCAGCCCAGTCCTCCAGAGTGGAATTCCAAATCCTGGTCCAGCTGTCCAGGCTTGTTACACAGGATTGCAGTCTCATTTATTACCTATGCTAATATTTATAACCAGATGTTACTGAGGAATACCAACCTTCCTTTCTGTTAAGTTCAAGCAGCTTATAAAACCAAATACTTCATCATCATCCTCTTCATCATCAGAACTGTCTTCCTGCACTTCTGCTTGCTGTTGAATGAAAGGAAAAGCAACAACTCATAATGACACTCTATTTCCACTCTGTAGCAAAAGATGTTTTTCTTTCCAGGTGCTTTCAGCAGATGAAAACCATTGAGGCAATCTGTACAAACACACACTGCAAATTCTGAACTGCAAATTCTGCATCACTGAACACCTCAGTGTGCCCAGAGCCAGCTTCAGGAGGGCCAGGCCATGCATCTTCTACAGCAGAGCCCTCTGAAAGGCACTAAAGGATGATAGCTCACATTCAATAAGCAGCATCTCAGCCCAGGGGATGGAAATATCTTAAACAAAACCAATTTCCTTCAGTTCCTAATGCAGGGAAGTAAACCTGGAATGTCTTGACAGCCACAGAGCAACAAAGCTTTGACAGGGAGGAAGACAAAGAGCTGTGTCTGTGTAGGGAAGTCACAAGCTCCTATTTCTCATGGAGATGGTAACAAACCTCTGCATTGCATTTCCAGCATTACTACACTGAAATTCAGGGAGGGAAAAGCCTTCCATATGAAAAAAGAAACCAGCAATAACAACACATCAAATTCATTCTTTGCTTGAAAGCAGGCATGGAAAATTTCAGTTCCCATAGAAAAATTATTCTTAAAGCAGAAAAAGCAAGAAAGCACACAAATAACAGAGAGGATCCCCTTCTGAAATACAGAAATAATGTCATTTTAACAAAGAAAGCATTGCACTTCAATGACAAATATAATATCTGTCTTACCTTGATAATACTCCCAATATGGTTCTGTTGTATTAATATATCAGTTAATTCAGCAGTGTTAACAGGAGCTTTTAGAAACAACTGGAAGACAGGAAACAAGTATTAATTTTCAGGCACTGAGGGTATCTCATGGACCACTTAATAGAAAATAAAGTGAGATTTTTATTTATCTTCCTTCATTATAATACTGCAAAAACTAACAACCAGCTGCTGGAGGTGCTTGCTCCTGCACCTTCCACATGCTGATATTTCCACACTGGTACCCTCTGGAGTTTGGTATGATCTGAAAACTGTGGCTATTCCATCCCTGGAAGTGTCCAAGGGCAGGCTGGATGGAGCTTGGGGCAATCTGGGACAGTGGAAGGTGTCCCTGGCCATGGCAGGGGGTGGCACTGGGTGGGCTTTAAGGTCCCTTCCAACCCAAACTACTCTGGGATTATCCAATAAAAGGAAGCAAAGTAATATATAAAAGCTATAAATCAATACAAAGAATGAGAGCTGATGCCTTTGCATAACTCCTTAGATATTATTTATCAATGCAATACCAGCAAAGCTGACAAGTAGCCACAGTACCTGCTGCAGTAACTTCTTTATCCCATTATAGTCATTGTCTGATATGGAATGTGCCTCAAATTCAACATTCACTTCCTGTGGGGTATAACAGAGAATATCACACACACTTGGCAAGAGGTTATATCAGACAAGTAATGGCAAACAGCAGACACAGAACTTATTTCCACCTAGCAGTAATCTCAGCCATTGTTATCATTTCTCCTGTGACATTTAGAGAACATCTGTGAAAGCAACTTTTTAAAACTGACCCACCAATTGTGTCACAAACAAACCTTAAATGCTTTGCCCCTGCCATCTGGTTCACACAACTACAACTTTTATAGCCACAGACTCCTCCTGGAGAGAGGCTTGACCCAGGAAGTCAAACCTGGAAACTTCAGGACTGTGGTCTAACACCTCAGCAGCTGCAGATGCTGCAGACATTTAAATAGTTACACCCAAACCCACAGTTCTGCTATTTCCCCAAAGCCTCCTGGCATCACTAACCCCACTGTGGAACTCTGCAAATGATGAGACCCAGGCTGCTTCTCCTTCCAGAACAAATGCTGTGTGTCTACCAACATTTTTATTGCTATTCAATATCAAAAGTCATATCTGCTGAGGTTACTCTGCCCACCTATTCCACTGTTCAAGATCATTCAAGGTTATTTTGCCTTTTAATTGCCAGTTTCAATTACACCTCCTGAGCAAGCTCAACAACTCAGCCTCACTTTTGCCACCATTCAGCCTCAGAATTCTCTCCAACCCCACATCGAGGTCAAGGCCTTAGCTGTCCACTGGAAGAACAGTGTTAAAGACCTGTTTGCAATGTAGAAAACAGGCACACAGTCCCTCGGGAAGCAGGAAAATTCAGGAGACACTGGCACAGGCTGCCCCTGGATCTCTGAAGTGTCCAAGGCCAGGCTGGACAGGGCTGAGAAAGCCCTGGGACGGGGGAAGGTTTCCCTGCCATAGCAGGGGGTGAAAATGGATGGGTTCTAAGGTCCTTTCCAAACCAAACTATTCTGGGATTCTACAATAAAAGGAAGCAAATTTATTTTTATAATAATAAAACACAGCAGAAAATAATAAAAGAGCTAATCCTCTGTGCTGACAGCACCATTTCCAAGCAGCCCCACACCTCAGCGGACACACCAAGGGCTGGGGGGCTGTACAGCTGAGACCCCGGAGACCCCCAACACTTGAAAAACAGTTAAAAAAATTAAAAAACTTTCAACAACAACAACGCAGCGAACACACTTTGGATCTCCGGCCCACAGGGACCAGCAGGGAGAGCTCCGGCCCACAGGGACCAGCAGGGAGAGCTCCCTGCTCTCCCACAGGACACGCACCCAGCGCCGGCTGGGCCTGCTGGGGCACAAGCCCTTCCCGAACTTCCCCTGACAGTCCCTTCCCGAACACCCCCTGACAACAATCCCTCCCCAAGCCCTTCCGGAACATCCCCTGACAACAATCCCTCCCCAAGCCCTTCCCGAACACCCCCTGACAACAATCCCAACGCGAACACCCCCTGCCAGTCCCACACGTGCAGGAGCGGTGCGGGGCCCGTCCCGCTCACCTCAGCGATGGGCTCGTCCGAGTCGGAGCACTCCGAGCCCTCGGAGCCGCTGTCGGAGCCCTCGGAGCTGCCGGAGCCGCTGTGGGAGCCCTGCTCCCCGGCGGGGCTCCGCGCCCGGCGCTTGGCCGGCGTGGCCATGGCACGGCTCGGCGGAAGGGCGGTGTGGCCGCGGGATGTCGCTGAATGTCGCCGAATGTCGCGACAGCGAGCGGGAGGCAGCGCCCGCGGAGCGCGGAGGGGCCCGGGCGGCCGCGGAGCCTGAAGGGGCAGGCGCGTCCCGCACCGCCCCGCTCCCCGCTCAGCCGGATTTCCTCTTCGTGCTGTGGTGTCACTTCCTTCCAAAGGGAATTCATTCTCGGGAATGGTTGTCAGGGGTTAAGTCAGGGCGGTTTGTGTCCCCCATCCCTGCAGGAAGGGCTGGAGGTGGCTCTGGGGCTGGGGACGCCGCAGCTCGGGCTCGGTGACCCTGGAGGCTTCTCCAGCCTCAGGGGTTCTGTGCTTTAAAAGGAACAGAGTGTCCGAGCATCTCCGACATTAGCGAAAATTACTGTAAGTAAAAACCAGCGTTAGCAAAAATTGCCAGTTAAATCAGGAATCAGCCTGCTCGCTGTATAAAAATCGTGTCCCGGCTTCCCCCGAACCAAATTCCCTGGATAATTCCAGACAAACCGCAGAGAAGGGTGACAGGGAGAGCGCCGTAAGCACAACGCGATTCTGGTCTTTATAAAAAATGCCAGTCGGGAAAACGCCTTGAAATGTCCTCAGCACTGAAAAATGCTCATTAACGATCGAGCCTCGGCTGTATGGAACGTGTTCCACTTAACGCTTTGTGTCTAATTAATGAAGAAATTAATTAATGAGGCCGTGGAAAGAAGAGCATTGGGCGCTCGCTGTTGCCAGCCAGAAGAAATGCAAGGCACAGAGCCTTGGGATGTAATTCCAGCTTTATAAATAATTATAAATAACTGCTTCAAGTAGGCTGAAATTTTCATGTTCCCCTTAAAGCCTCAAACGCATCTGTGGGGTTTTTTATTTTGTTTTGGTTTGGGGGGGTTTTGTTTGGTTGGTTTTTTTTTTTGTTTTAGTTTTTAAAGCTATGTTTGCTCTGGGAGCAATTAGGTCATTGCCAAAATTTGAATACTGATATTCAGGGAAAAAATTTAGAGGAAGGTGAATTTTCCTATGTGTGTGATCTGTCAGGAAAATACCACACTGGTAACTGGGGTAAATGTGCACTTAGAGAGTGGATTTCTCTTTGTATTATTTGTGTATTTGCTTGCTTTTTGTAACTTTGAGTTTAGCACCAAAGCTTGTAAGGAACTGAGAAGTATCATCTTCCATTTTTATGGCAGAATAGATGTTTTCAGTCCTGCCTTGTTTCCTAGAGTATCAGAGAAGGCATATGAATATTATCTATATTATTATAGATGCATAAATATGTGCATATAGACACCCATATATTAAATAAAATCAATATCTTTGCTCATCTCATTTTGATGAGCAGAGGGTGAAAACTAGCATGGAAATTAACAGAAAAATTATATTTTTGTAGCTGGGATCTGATTCAATTGCAGAACATGGTGGCATTCTAGGCTTTGTTACTGCCTTTACAAAAATATTCTTTAAAATGTGTTCTCCTTGATGAGTTTCACTAGAGCCTCTTCCTTAGGCAGTGTTATCTAAAGGCAGCACATTATTTTCTGCCCTTATCAGGGTGGGTGCTCCTGCCTGGAGAATGCACAATAACTGCTTACTCACTGTGTAAGCAGCAGTACAGCTGGGAGCAGCCCAGTTCTTGGAGCTGTTAAAGTCACTGTTGGAGTCAAAAACTCCTCTAGATCTAATTAAGATAAATTCTATTATTTTATTTCAGGGTTCTGCTGGGCTTCCTTGGTGAACAATGAAGGTTCTGCTGCTGAAGGATCCCAAAGACAAAGATTCAGGACCAGATCCTTATGTTAAAGTGAGTAAACGTTGATAAAACTAGAAAAAAAGAAAGTGTCACTTCTTTATTAAAAACTAATGCAACTGTTTCAAGTGGGAAAAGGGGCTTGCTCAAAATTAGAAGTGCATGTCTGAAATTATGCAGAGAGAAAAAGTATCTTGGAAAATAGCCCTTCCTGCAAAAACTTGTATTAATTATGGGACATTTTTACTGAATTCATTGTAAAGCTCTCAGCAAAGTACTGATATTAAACCAGCTTCATTTGAATTAATTACTATTGTTTATGTTCATATGGACAGAATAAAGATTACAGAAATTCTCTGTGTTTTTACTGGGAATGTGATGTGAAATAGAGGTTACCTGTTGCTGGGGTTCCTTGGTCATGTGAGTAAATCTCACTGATAAGAGGAAGAATTCCTGATAAAGGAGGATTATTTCTTTAGAAGAAACCTACTGACAGAATTACAGAGATGCACAGGGACATTTGCAGGACTGGGTGGGCACTTGGGGACTTCAGAGTTTTGTGCTGGTGTCTCCTGTACTTCAGAAGGTCCCACAGCTATTTGTTTAATAAAATGTTATAATATTAAATAATTAACAAATCCAAACTAGATTTACCAGGGAAAGGAAATAAAGTGCCTTTTTATTTTGCTTTAGCAAAGAGAAATGCTTGTGCTGACTCAGCTCTTTGAAAAAGTAAAAATGCTGTTTGGAATTTATTTCAAGAGCTGCAAACATTTTCTTGACAGGAATTAGGATCATACAGCTTGGAAGCAACATTGATCCCAGTTTTGTCATTTGAATTCACCTCTCTTGAGAGCTTATTTGAGAAGGTAAGTTTGAAATTCTTTCAGTTGTCTTATTTCCAGCAGAATTTTGATCCCATTTCATCATTCTCTGCGTGGTGCCTCTTTTTGTGTTGCCACAAACCAGCTTTGTACAGTAAAATTTCATGTACAGCAAAATTTCATGTGCAGCATCAAGGACCTTGCCCTTGCTTGTTAAAGAATTAAATTGGCCAGACAGAATTAATATTTAAGTGAATTTTCACAAGTGTTGGGGCATTTCAGGCAGTTATTGAAGCTGTTCTGTTTGTCACAAGCTTGTAAATAACTGATCAACTGATTTTTATTTTTTTTTTTACTTGAATTTGCTGTTTCTAAATAGCTTTCCCACCTGTTTGTCACAAGCTTGTAAATAACTGATCAACTGATTTTTAAAATTAATTATTTTTAATTTTTTTTTTTTTTTACTTCTTGAATTGACTGTTTCTGAATAGCTTTCCCATCCAGAGTGCTATGGAGGCCTGGTTTTTACCAGCCCAAGAGCATTAGAAGCCATCAAGATCTGTTTAAAAGAGAAGAGTAAGAAAGAGGGTAAGTACATCTTGATATTCCTTGGTCTTTTTCTTCCAGCATCTTGTGAAATGTGGATTTTAATGAACTTTGTTTCACCCACCAGTAGATATTTGGAGCATCATTTTTAAAAAAAAACGAATTTCACAGTTCTTTTAACATCACTAAGGGCTCATGCTACACTGAGCTTTTAAGGGTTATATTTTCCACACTTAAAAATTAAGGAAAAGAGCTTTTGGTGCAAATTACTGATTAGTGAGAGCTTTGCCAGCTCTGGTTTAGGAATATTTTGCTGCAGTGCCTGGTTTGCTTGCTGACTGCTTTCCTCCCTTGAAGAGAAGATCATGTCATAAAAACTGGCCATCACTTCTGTGCCTGTGTAATTCATATAAAATGCTGCAGAAAAAAAGGCAGTTCTCTGTCTTGAATAAGAAATTTCTCAAGTGAATTAATTATTAGCTAAAAAATGGTGAAGAAGTGCTGATGCAGCAAAGCCAAGAGATGAGGAGTGAGGAAGAACCCTGCTAAACAGAAATACCCAACACAATGAAATGACAAATCCTTGCAAACTCTTCCAAATTCTTGTTTTGGTGATTCTGGCATGGAGTTTCTACTTTACCTGCTCCATTTTTGGGCTGTGGACAAATCAAACCTTACTCCTGTGAGTAAGGTTACACCTTTGAGTAAGCAGTAAATGCACTGAGACCATCAGCTTTTGTAGCATTTCAGCAGCAGAAGAAGATTTTAGGTCAAAAGTAATCTCTAAATTTCATCCCCAAGCTTGATTAGGACTTCTGGAAAAGAAATATTTTAATAATAAAAATGAGTGTGTAGTTTCTGTTTGGGTTCCTCTCAAAGGCAGCAAATCCTTGTGGTTTTACTTCTGATTTTTATTTTTACTGTTGTATTTTGTATTTCTTTTTTCACCCCTGGTAATCCCAGAAAAGACTCAGTATCCTGTGCTGCTCTGGTTAAAACAAGACAGTAAAAACCTTGGTGTATCTATTTTTGATCCTTTAGGATTTGTACATCCAGATTTGTAGTGGAGTTTTAGTTATTTTTATCATTTTGCTGCATTTGTGGATTAAACAGAAGTCCAAATAGTCATTTATCATTCACATTATGTTGCCATGTGCTTAAATTTAATTTAATTTAGTATAATTTGATGTTTTTCAGCCTGGTCAAAATCTCTTAAACAAATGTGGAATATCAAACCAACATATGTGGTAGGAAAAGCTACAGCTTCTTTAGGTAAGCTGGGGTTTAAAACAAGAAAAAATGGCTAAATCTGGCTTGTAAGTACAATGTTTGGAGGAGCAGCTGCTGTTCAAGGGTGCTGAGGAAGAAATTTCAGTTTTAAACTGGTTAATTTGGAAGAGAGGTAATTATGTAAACATTAGAATTATCCATGCTCCAGCCAAGGATATCCATGGATCTAATCCAGCCTCTGGATTTCTGCTGCTTTTGTTGTAATGTGATGGTCACTGCTTGAAAAATTGGGTCAAAACAGGAAAAAAAAACCCTTTATTCTTAATTTGAGTGTGGTTTTGTCACTGCTTTTGGAAGTGGAATTGGATGAAAGGGATTCTAACCTTGCACAGGTGATTTGTGCACAAATTATTTGTGTGCCTCCCTTTCCATCCCAGGGTTCTGTGACAGGAAATCTGAATTGTTCTCATTGTTTCCCATGGTTTTTTCTTTGCTGCTTTTGGTTCTAGTGGAAGAAATTGGTCTTGTTCCACAAGGAGAAAAGGCTGGAAATGCTGAGAAATTAGCTGAATATATTTGTTCAAGTAAGTGGCTCAAATGTTGGAGTTAAATTAAGGTAATCCTAAATAAATTAAGGTCCCTTCCATCATTTTAGAATTTCCTTGAGGTAAAATCAAGTGCATAGTGAGGCAAAAATACTTCAAAATACATATACAAGATACTAATTTACATGTAATCTTAGACTCTCTGGTTAATTAATAAATACTATATGAGCCAGCAGGAAAATGT